TAATGATACACCCACTTACAGACCCGAGTTTCAAAAAGCAATAGCATATTGTAGTAGAGATTTAGAGTTTAGCCTCTATCTATTCCCAGCTCTGTCCCCCACTAGTGGTATGACTTCGGATAGACACTTACCTCTGATTGATCTTATCCCCTTGGAATGAAAAGGAGTATAACCTGATAAGGTCTAAGGTGCTTCCAGCTCCAAAAGCCATTATGAGGGACTGGAGATCACCAAGAGGAATCTCTCCCGGTAATATATGATGTGTAAAGGTAATTGTGATGTTATGTAGAATGAAGTGAAGGCCATAAGTACACGGTCAGAGGGAAATAGGAACAGAGCTTATGAGTCAACTTATAAATGATCTGCTCTCCTTGATAAAATCTGAAAAGTATGATCATAATTATTCTCATAACTGATGCCATTAATATAATTTTTAAAACCTAAGCTCTAGCTTAGGAGTTTAATTACCCTTTTCAAATTAAATGTATATGTATATATGTATATATGTATATTTGTGTTCAACATGAATACCTTAAAAAATTCTGGAACTTCAATTAACTTGTAACCTTTGGTTTTGTCAATTGAAAATGAATTGGCATATGGATCCCTCTGTTGAGAAATGTATATGTTTATTTGGGTATGGACATCAGTTAACTAACCGTTTGGGATCATGACCAAGGGTAAGATAATGGTGGTGATGAAAATATAAAAACTCTTCCTTTGGTAGACTTGACAACAAGTTAAGTGGGGTAAGAAAAAAAATAGGTGTAGGGATTAAGAGTATTAAACTCATGATCTACACATTGTAAATGCAGTTTCTCTTAAAGAAAGATCTTATTCCTACTAAGGCACAGCCCAATAATGAAGTTAGGATGCATCTACGTTTCTCCTCTTCAACTTGATCCAGATGCCATTAGTAGGACGAAGAATCAGCTCTCCTGCCACACCAAGTTCTTCTCTTTTCTGGTTGGATTCTACCCAAAAATGCCTCAGGATGCATGAAAGAATAACCTTTTCTTCCATCATGGCAAACCTTTGACCTTCATATTAATGTAAATAACATAATCTTAATTACAGATATATTTCAAATGGGAGATAGAACAGGTTCTATTAGAGGGAGCAAGTGATGTTAGATTTTCACAACAGGACCTGGGAAAACCAGTATCAGAATGCTTCCTGATAATAAAGGTCTTTGAGTGCCTTTCCCTGCTCCCACCCAGTGCATCTGAATACTCTGAAGACAAGGAATCTAGCCCACGCAGCACCCAGGTGAATCCTGGAATCATTGAAACATGAGAATCAGTGCTCTCTGAACGCTCTCCTCTGGGCCTTCCAGGTAGTTTACTATAGAGTTACCAGGCCTCATTGTACCAATGACTGCATTTACATAAATAAAATGCCAGAGATACTAAAGCCAAAAGTGTACAATGCATGGTGATGTGCATTCATTTTGCTGAAGTACTTCTGCTGGTCCTATGGTGAACATTCTCTGTTTTGGTTTTGAAAAAGCAATTCTTAAAAGCAATAAAAACAGGTTAAATAAACTAATTGTTATAAATAAGCTTTCTACCATATAAAGTATATTCTACTTCAATCCAAAGATCTACATTTTAAAACTCTACCATGAAACTGGTTATGCTTTATGTTATGGGCTGAATGGTATTTCCCCCAAATTCATCTGCTGAATTCTTAACCCTCATATCTCACAATGTGACTACATCAAGGGATAGGGCCCTTAAAGCGGTGAGTGATATAAAATGAGGTCCTATGGATGTCCCCCAATGTAATCTGATTGAAATCTTTATGAAAAGAAGAGATCAATCCCTGGCTGGGTGGCTTAGTTGGTTGGTATGTCATCCCATTCACCTTAAGGTTGTGAGTTCAATTCCATCAGGGCATAAACCTAGGTTGTGGGTTAGATTCCTGCTAGGGCACATATGGGAGGCAACCAATCAATGTTTCTCTCACATCAATGTTTCCCTCTCTCTCAAATCAATAAAAATTTATCATTGATTGGGGATTAATTAAAAACACCCACACACAGACAGAGGAATAAACTATGTGAAGACACAGGGAGAAGACATCTATCTACAAGCCAAGGAGAGAGGCCTCAGAAGAAACCAGCCCTGCAGACACCTTGATCTGGGACTTCTGGCCTCCAGAATTGTGAGAAAATTAAATTCTGTCACTTAAGCCACCCAGTCTGTGGTGCTTTGTTACAGCAGCCCTAGAAAACTAATATGCTTTACGACAGTCATATTAAAGAGGGGAAAAAAATAAAATAGTTTTTTTACAGACTTGTATCTGAGACACTACATCTCAAAGACATTATTGTGAGAGACCCCTGTCATGTGCGTCTGAAAGGTCAAACCGATTCTGATGGATACAAACCTATACAGTTTCTGGGTCCTGCAGAGAAGGGCACATATGCATATGGATGGCGTCCCACGGAATTCTC